GAGGCTGGAAGTCTAAGATTGTGGTGCCAGTGTGGTTGGGTGAGGGCCCCCTATGAGGTTGCAGACTTCTCGTGGTATCCTCATATGGTGGAAGGGGTTAGGGATCCCTCTAGAGATGACTGGGCACCAATCCCAACCATGAGGGCTCTAATTCCCCCCAAAAGCCTCATGTCCTAATACCATCACCTTTGGGAGTTAGAATTCAACATGTGGATTTGGAGGGAGAGGGGGACACGCGTTCCAACCATAGCACTCTCCCCAGTGAAACCACCATAACTGGTGAAAATTATAAAAACAATCATCTAAAGTCTCTAGAAACTGTCCTAAAGGTATACCACAAAGGGAGAGACATTTATTCAAGAAAATCTAAATCTCAGTAAGACAGTAAGACAGTGAGAGGGTCTGTGTTTGAGCCACAGCCTACTCTTTACATGCCCACCCCATCCAGCTCAGTGTAAAAGTTGTTCTACTCTGGGAATATGTGGCCAAGAAGACAGGGGTCCCTCTTCCCCAGCTCTCATTGTGAGGATGCCATTTCCCCTTGGGAGGAGCAGATTGCCTGCAGTTCCCATCCCTCCACATAGCTCCTTGTTTCAGAAGTTCCATTGTAGGAGGATGAAACCCAGAGGTCTGGGGTCACCTTCCTCAACCCAGCACAGCAGCACTCCATCATCAAATGGAAGTGGTGTGAGTAAGTCACAGGAAGAAGTAGCCCAAATGCCCATGGTCTCCATTCCTGCTACATTACCTTCTCTAGATAGCACCTGTAGCCTTATGGGGGTGAGGGTTAGGGGAGGTGTGAGAGGGACTCCCTATAATCAGCTGACTAAGAAAGAGAAAACTCAGGCATGGTTTGCAGATTATTTTGCCTTATATACAGGCACCATTCAGAAGTAGACAACTGGAGCACCACTTCCTGGGACATCCCTGAAAGATGGTGGTGAAGAAAAATCCTCCCGGGGGTCAGAACTTTGGGCAATGCATCAGACTGGTCATTTTTCTTAGAAGGAGAAGTGGCCAGAGGTAGGAGTCTATACTGATTCGTGAGCTGTGACCAATGGTTTGGCTGGGTGTCTAGGGACTTGGAAGGACCATAATTAGAAATTCAATGATAAGGATGTCTGAGGAAGAGGTATGCAGATAGACTTTTCTGAATGGATAAATGAGTCAATAAGTAAGTAAATAAATACACACATGCATGCATACATATATTGTATCTTATATGACTGCTCATCAAAAGGTGACCTTGGCCAAAGCCTTTTTAATAACGTGGTGGATGAGATGATCTGTTCCATGGTTACCAGTCGGTCTCTTTCCTCAACCATTCTTGTTATTGCCCGATGGATCCATGAGCAAAGTGGGCATGGTGACAGGGATGGAAGTAATGCATGTGCTCAGCAACGGGGACTTCTATTCACCAAGGCCAACACAGCTACAATCATTGCCAGGTGCCCCAATCTGCCAGCAGCAGAGACCAAACCTGAGTCCCTGAATATGCACCATTCCCTGGGGTTAGTCATTCATCAGGTTGACCCCATTGGACCCCTTCCCTCATGGAAGGGGAAACAATCTGTTCTCACTGTAACAGACACTTGCTATAGATATGTGTTTGCCTTCCCACAGTGCTTCTATCAAAACCACCATCCGTGGACTTACAGAAAGCCTTACCCACCATCGTGGCATTCCACGCAGCATTGCTTCTGATCAAGGAACTCATTTCACAGCAAATGAAGCGCAGCAATGAGCCCATGCTCATGGAATTTGCTGATCTTTCCATATTATTCTTTATCCTGAAGCTGCTGACTTGATATAATGGAGGATTCCCCTTTTGAAGCCTGTTACGGCACCAGTTAGGTCGCAATTCCTTGCAGGGTTGAGGCAAGGTTCTCAGGAGTCTGTACATGCTCCAAATCCACACCCAATATATGGTGCTGTTTCTCTCATAGCCAAGATTCATGGGTCCAGGAATCAAGGAGTGGAAATGGACACAGCAGCACTCACCCTTAACCCTGTTTTTACGATAGCAAAGGTTTTGTTTCTCGTCCCCATGATCTGCTGGTCTATCGGTCTTAGTTCCAAAGGAAGGAATGCTCCCAACCATGAAATACAACAATGATTCCACTGACCTGGAAGTTAAGACTACCACTTGGCCACTTTGAGATTCTCATGCCTCTGAATCAACAGGTGAAGTAGGGAGTTACTAACGTGGCTGGGGTGACTGATCCTGTCTACCAAGGGGACATGATTTAAATGATCAGCTGTGAATATTAAGCAGAACATGAAGGAAGCAAGACCATGAGAGGAGTAAGGGATGGTAAAAAGATGGTAAGATCAATGGATTGAAAGTCCCATTGGGGTCAAAGTGTTGGCCCCCAGGCTTGGCTCCCCCAATGACTTCGCTGTTGCTGTCATTCACATATTAGATTCCCCTTATTTCTATTCTAAAGAGGAAGATCTAGATGAGTATTCAAATAAATACATAAGATGATGTCACAGAGTAATAAATACAAGCCAGCAAAGAAAGCAGGGTAAAGGCATGATCATGGCAGAGATGAGGGGCCATTTCAAACTTGTTGGTCATGGAAGACCTCTGAGCAACAGGTGCATATCCTCTGTAATGACTGTTTTGTGCCCAACATCTCCCTTTTCTGGTAAACCCCAATCCCACTTGTGTCTTATCCCCCTCCTGCCAGATAACTGTGCCTCCTTGTTCACTGGGAATTAGTACCTAGCAATTAGCTCCTTTATTTTTCCCTAGTCTGCCTCCAAATGTTTTCTCTTTCTCCAGTCTGCCTGCATTTCCTGCGGGCTCCATGAGTGGGAGACCTCTTTCCTCATAAAGCAGAACCTCGCCAATTTTGCTCCTTACGTATTATATTTCATCTTCTCCTGACTGCCCTGGTTCCTTTTCTCTTGCCTTCAAACAACCACAGGTCTTCCCATGTAGAAAAGAATGTTCTCTTGAACATTATTGATCCATTGATCTTGCGTCACGTGGGAATACTCAAAAAGGGACCTCAACCCTGAGTCTCCTCTCCTATAAAATGCTGAGAGTCAATAGTACAGACTGTTTGCATCCACCCAAAATCCCCAGTGTGCTGGTATTTGGAGGGGGGGCCTTTGGGAGGTAACAGGTTAGATCAAGCTGTGAGGCTGGGTTTTCATGGTAGGATTAGGGGAAGAGAAAGAGACACAATCTCTCTTTCTCTCTGCCCTGTGTTGACACAGCAAGAAGGTGGCTGCCTACAAGCCAGGAAGCAAGCTCTCACCAGGAACCAGATCTGCCTTATCTTGAACTTTCCAGCCTCCAGAACCGTGAGAAATAAGTGCTTGTTGTCTAAGCCTTCCAGTCTAAGGGTTTTTGTCCAAGCGGCCCGCACTAAGACAGTCCATGAACCTCTTTCCCTCCTGCACAACCTAGTTTCTTCTCCACCTTCCCCTTTCTTCCTTCCATGACTGGTCTGCATACCTAAGTGAGTTTTCTCTTCTGCCCCTTCTCCTCCAACGTTCTAGTTCCAAGACTCGTTCCATTCCCCCTCACAACATCTCTCAAATCTGTTCTCCCAATTCTAGGGCTGCTGGTGCCATATTGGCCCCCACCCTTATCATCTGAGGAATAAAAATCTCTAACAGCCTCCTCACTGGCCCCTGACCCCTGACTCACCTTCCTCTACTCTATCCTGCATAAATTAATTTTTCTAAGCTCCGACTTGGATCCTTTCCTGCTTAAAACTGTTTGTGCCCCACCCATGAAATTCCAGACTAAGGGGTTTGGACTTGGGCCTGGAGACAAGTCCTTGCAAACACGCCCTCGACCTATCTTCTCAGATGTGTTCCCCATCACACCCCGCCCCAGGAACTCTTCTGTTATCACCCGGCCTGCCTTCCCCCACCTGCACACACTTCCTGCATGCCACATGGCTGTCCGCCTTGTGACCTCTGACTCGGCCTCAGGCAATCCGTCCCGCCTCATAATGACGATCCCACATGTGGTATCTGAGTGCAATGCATCACCGTTTGCAGGGTCTGAGCTCAGAACATCGACATTTTGGAGCAAAAAGACACCCCTGCATCCTCATATGCAAAATCAGTAACTGGGCTAGCTGACTTCTCGCTCCAAGAGGGATTCTGTCACTTGCCCAAAATCAAACAGGGATAAACAGGCCCAAAACATTTTACTCCTTTCCTAGCACTCCTTGCCCCACACCCACTATATGGTTTTTTTAAAACTATAATTAATCTACAATGTTATATTAGTTTCAGATGTACGGCGTAATGATTGGACAATCCTACACGTTTCTCCACGCTCCCCGTGATAAGTGTAGTCAGCATCTGTCCCCAAGCAATGTATTACAATCTTACTAATGATAGTCCCTACGCTGTTCACCTCTGTGACTTATTTATTTCATAACTGGAAGTTTGTAGCTCTGATCCCCTTTACTGATTTCACCCTCCCCCCCGCCCCGACCTCTCCTCTGCAACCATATCAACTTGCTTTCATTCCTGCAGCACGCTAAGCATCGTTCTATGCACTGGACACACAGCAGTGCACAAGACGCCTGCCCTCCCCGAGCTGACATTCTAGAAGGGGGAGGTAATCATTAGACAAAATAAGTAAGTAGAATGCATAGAATGTTGGGTAGTGAGTACTATGGAAGCGGGGGAGGAAGCATGAGTGGGAGGGCACTGCAGTCTTTGAAAGAGAAGTGAGCTAAAGGTGACAAGGGTGTAGACGGGGGAGGAAGTGGGAGTGGGGGTCTCTGCAGGCAGGTGACATAGGAGCGAAGGGGAGAAAGCTCCCGGATTGCTCACGAGCCGCAAGGAGGTCCATGGGGCTAAAGCTGAGGGGCCAGGTGGGGAAGGAGGGATGGTCAGAGACCTCTGGAGACACCGCTGGGGGCGGGGGGGGGGGCAGCCCTCAGGGCTGAGTGAGAGGCAACAAACTGGGGGTCCTGAGACAAGCAGACAAGCAGCAGCACCGCTCTGCGGAGAATGGTGCTATGGCAGGACAAGGGCAGGAGGTTCGTAGGATGCAAGGCAAGAACCGGGGAGAAGATGATGCCGGCCGGGGCTGTTACGGGAGCAGCGGAGGTGGAAAGAGATGGGATCCGGGATTTGCCCGGAAGGCAGGGCCAACGGATTTGCCGATGAATGTGGACAACGAGAGACAGAGAGGTGTTCGGGGCAACTCAAAGGTTTTGGCCGAGCGAACGGAGACACGGAGTTGCCCTTCACCAAAATAAAGTCTGTTGGAGAAACAAGTACGGGAGAAGATAAGGCGCTCAACTGTAAATAACAGGACATGCGATGCCGCACAGGCTTCCAAGTGGAAATGTTGTGTAAGAAGTTAGATAAATGAGCCTGGGTCCAGGGGAAAGACTGAAGTTGGAAATATAAATTTGAGAATTATCCATTTATAGGGGGGTAGAGTTCTGAAGCTGAATGAGATGATCCAAGGAGTGTGCATGTGTGTGTCCTTATTCTTGTTAAGTTTCTTCAAAGCAATGCCTATCACCTGTATTTTGTAAGAACTGTGTATACATCAGGGCAGGATATATATTAAATAGCATATTAAGCTCGTACTTTTTAAGCACAGACCTCAACAAAATAAAACGTGCACCACAAATTCATCCTCTTTCCAAGAGCTTGGGAAGACTGAGATTATTTTAAACCATCCACAGACATGCGAGCAGGAGGAGTAAATTTCACCGTGCTTGGAACCTAACAGGCTTGTCATGAACTTTGATGTTTATCAAGTGATTTGTGAATGATTTGGGAAAAAAACAAACTCTAGCCTTCAGATTACTGGTTACTTGCTTGGCTATGAGCAAATCGCTTCTCCTCCTCTCTGAGCCTGTAGAAAAAGAAGAAAGAAAGAAAGAAAGAAAAGAAAGAAAGAAAAGAAAAGAAAGAAAGAAAGAAAGAGAAAAAGAAAAAGGGGGTAATGGAACAACTGGATTGACCCTTAACTCTCCCTCTGTCAGAAACTGAAACCTTAACCTTTCTGGGAACTGGTTTGGTTTTCGGCTAGATGGCTCCCCCAAGTGGTCAACGGGGGTGAATGCAGCTTGCATGTCAGGCCCTTATTAATTGAGCCCATAGACTTATCATTCAGACACCGTGGCTACCATTTTAGAGGCATTCTCTCATTAAATCCTCACCAAAACATTAGGAGGCAATCATGTTTTTATCCCCACCTCACAGAGGAGGAAACGGACACCAGATCAAGGTTGCAACAGTAAGCGATGATCCAGGATTCATACCCAGGCGGTCTGAGGGTAATGAACGTCTGAACTCTTAACCGCTGTGTCCATCAGGAATAAGCATGGATGAACAGCCAAGGCCAAAAAAGCTTTCTTGGTGTTGGCACCTGACCGGGAGAGGTTATGAATGTCTACTTGCATGTGGAAAAAGCCGAAGAGCCTCCCTGCTCCCCACCTCGGGTCAGAAAGGATTTCAGCAGCCAGCCAAGGGCCCCAGGGACCCCAGAGCCTCGGCCCCACACTATCGGCCACCTCACAGGGGCCTCTCAAGCCAGGAGGCCTGGAAGGAGTATCATCTGCTGCTGGTTCCTTTGGATCAGTGTACCGAAATTAGCTTGCTTTGCTCTGCTTGCTTCCAGGCAGTTCTGGAGAATGTTTCTGATTTGGGGTTCAATTAAGTGGCTGAGATCAAGTGACCAGAAAGTGGCAGAGCCTGGGGAAACCCATCCCAGTCTTTGCCCTCTCTCGCGTGCTGTTGCTTAAAAATTAATATTCTATGTTAGTAAAATTCACTCATTTGGGTATACATTTCTCTGAGTTTGGACAAAGCATAGACATGTCTCCAAGTTTCGACATCTTTCCCCGGTGCACCTGCTCTTGCGTGCTTTCCAGAGTCCTCAGGTAGACTGCCTCTTGAACTCTGCCTGGAGGTCTTGGCTGTCGTTGGAGGGAGAGATGGGCTGGAGTGGACGTCCTGCACGGTGGCTGGCCAGAAGCCTTCCGGGTGGTTTCGGTATCTTGGAAAGAATGACTGATTTGCTCGTTAGCTGGGCTTAGTGTGGAAAAAAGTGAGAACTCAGCCCACTGCCCCGAAGCTGGTAGTGTATTGATCCCGGTGGGGGTCCCGGGGTGAAGGACACTCAGAAGCAGGATCTACAGTAGTCACTGGCCCTGCAGGTTGCTTGGGGTCCGTGGCAGCCGTAGGGCCATCAGGCTGGGGTGTCAAAGTAATTTCACTCTATACCGCCTGTCTCTATGCCATGGGTTTCTGTTCCTGCACGAAGAAGAGCGCTTGCTCTGTGTGTGGATACTCTCCACCTCATCGCTCCTGCCTGCTTGGACTCGGACTTGCCCATGATGTGCACAGTATGTGTCCTCTAACTTGGGGACACTCCATTCCCATGCTTCTGTTCAGTATGGCTCCCACTGCCCCCTGCTTCCTCATCTCAGTAGTTCCCTGAGTGCAGTCCTGACAAAGAACGAATGATGGGTCCACTCATTTTTTTTTTTTTTTTTTTGTTACACCAGGCCCTGCCGTGGGGTGGCCGAGGGCTGGACTGATTTTCCATGATCCAGGAGACCGTCACTCAGCAGGCAAGAGTGGAAGGTGGTGTCATGGGTTACTTTTGCGGCTGTCTGAGGGCATGTCACCTGAACTGCTTTGTCTAACACAAGCAGGATCACGAAGGTTCTTCCCCTACAACTTTTGTGTTCCTGTCCCCTAGTAGGTTTTTACAATTTGTTGTGAAATATTTCCGATAAACAAGCGTATACAAAAGATGTGTCGTCTAAAGTACCATATGATCTCACTGATATGAGGAATTCTTAATCTCAGGAAACAAACTGAGGGTTGCTGGAGTGGTGGGGGGTGGGAGGGATGGGGGGTGATAGACACTGGGGAGGGTATGTGCTATGGTGAGCGCTGTGAAGTGTGCAAGACTGTTGAATCACAGATCTGTACCTCTGAAACAAATAATGCAATATATGTTAAGAACAAAAAAAAGAAGAAGATAGCAGGAGGGGAAGAATGAAGGGGGGGAAATCGGAGGGGGAGATGAACCATGAGAGACGATGGACTCTGAGAAACAAACTGAGGGTTCTAGAGGGGAGGGGGTGGGGGATGGGTTAGTCTGGTGATGGGTATTAAAGAGGGCACGTTCTGCATGGAGCACTGGGTGTTATGCACAAACAATGAATCATGGAACACTATATCAAAAACTAATGATGTAATGTATGGTGATTAACATAACATAATAATAAAATTTAAAAAAGATATGCCATCTAAAGAATAAAGCAAACACCAATGTCCCCACTGTGATCCAGCTTAAGAAACTGATTATTAATACTATCTTAGAGGTATTGGTCCCTCTGTCTGTCTCCCTGCCTCTCTGCCCAGAGAAAAACCAGTATCTGATGCTTTGAATTAATCATTCTTTTGGTTTGCTTAAGAGTTTTCCCACCTCTGAATGTGTTCTTAAAATAATATTTTCCTCGGTTTTGTCTGGTTTGGAACTTTATGTAAATGGATTCACAGCTGATAGAACCTTCTGTGATCTGCGTCATATATTCATGTTATGCTTTTGGGATCCATCCTGTTGATACATGGAGGAGTCCTCCACTTTCAATTCTTTATAATATCCTATTATTACATACATATATATCATAAGAGATCATATTTAGCTGTGGCTGTATGTACCTACAGATGCACGGTTTTATATCTGCTACTGGTGGACATTTGAGGGTTTCTGGGTTTTGTTAGTATAAACAATATAGACATTCTTAGATATTTCTCCTGGTGGATGCTGGCAGAGCTTCTCTGGAATGCGTGCTTAGGGTGGGACTGCTAGATTGCAAGTTATCAATATACTCAAATTTATTAGGTTACAGCAGTTTTTTTCCCTAAGTGTTTGTCAATTTATACTCCCAACAATAGTGAATGAGAATTCTCAGAGTTCCTCATCCCCACCAACATTTGGTTTTATCCAAATTAATTATGGACATTAAAATTAAAATTAAATGTTCCTAAGGCCACAGAGGATGGAAATGGTATCTCACTATGGTTTTAATCTACCATTCCTGAATACCAATTACGATCAAGCTTCTTTGCATATGTCGATAGTCTCCTATTCAGACACCTGCTAATGCCTTTACATTTTTTTTATTGGGTTGGTTGTACTTTTCTGATTGAGTCATAAGAGTTTTTATATATCGTGGATGCCCCGAGTCATTAAGGTATTATTTTCCATTGTCTTCTAAAGCTTTAAAATTCTGCGGTCTGTTGGTATTCTAGATCCATCTGGAATTGATGTTTGTGTACAGTGTAAAATTAGAGGACTCTAATTTCACTTTTTCATTTTTATCCTAAAGACCTATTGTCCTAGAGCCACAATTTTACCTCTCGCCACAAGCAATGCTCACACCATGAAGATAGAGTTTTGGGTATATGCCTGAGTTTCATCCTAATGTCTCCATTCAGTTCCTCAAAAAAATGGTAATGCAGAATGACCCCCTCTTACTCTATTCTCTGGAAGATGTGGCAAAGTTTGTAATTCTCTGTTCCATAAATGTTTGGGCAAACTACCCCTAAAACCAGGCATCCGGTATGGTGTGTTTTTGAGGATTTTCAAACTATGTTTCATTGACTTTAATGGATACAGAACTAATCATGATATGTTTAGTCTCCACATCAAGTCCAGTGACAATTAGAGCTCCCTATTCAGTCCTACACTAATTTTCACCTTTTCTTTCTCTATCCGGTAATCTTGCCAGGGATTTACCCTTTCATTGCCCTTTTCAGAGAAATCAATGTTGTCTTACTGGTTCTCTCCACTGAATTTTGTCTGTGGATCCTCTCACATTCATTTCTGCTCTTCATTCTTTCTTTCCTTCTATTTTCTTTGGATTTCCTCTGCTACTAAACAAACAAAAGTCAGTATACACATAGAAGACCTGAACAATGAAGCAAACAAGCTTGATCTAATGCACCTAGAAAATCCCACACTTGATTACAGAATATACATATTTTTTTCAAGTCAAGAGTGACATTAAAAAGGAAATCACTTACTGGCTCTAAAAAGTGTCAAATTTCAAATACATGCCACGTATATCATTATCTGTAACTGCAATGTAATTGAAATACAAGTCAGTAACAGAAAGATGTGTGGAAATTTTAAAATATGCGTGTTGAATAACTCCTTGAGCAAAACAGGAAACCACCATGGAAATGTAAAGAAAGCCTAAGACAGAACAATAATGAAACTACCATGTA